TTGCGAAGACGGGGGAACGGAGTTGCGAAGACGGGGGAACGGAGTTGAGAAACATATCAGCCACGATCAAATGCCGGAGCAGACTCGATGGGCTGAAAGGCCTAATTCTGCTCCTATATCTTATGCTCTTATGATGATTTCTGTTAATAAAAAACACACTTTTGCCAAATTCTACTCACCACCCAGACATGATCAGATAACTTTGATCCCACTGTCATTCAATAGGTGTGGAGGAAATAATTATATTAAACTCAACGCATGTTGTACAGTTTAAATCATGCTCAGATTTTAGTACAGATTAGCAGTGTGATGTTGTCACCTGTAGTCACAGTCAGTCAGTTTGACAGCATCCTTAATTGAGTTGGTAAGCCATTGATTCATGCCTCATTTCAATGCTGCAACATGTGGATCAAGCTAAAATTTTGAAGGCACATTGCATTGTGAAAGATGCCATCCTTCACAGGACACATTTAAACTACCCACTTCATTGTTATTTAGAGCCATAGAGTCATACAGCACGGAAGCAGATCTTTCAGTGCAATCAGTCCACGCCAAACATTATCCCAAACTAAACGCTTCCCACCTGCCTGCTCCTGGCCCATATCCCCCTCCAAACATTTCCTATTCATGTACCTATCCAAATGGCTTTTAACATTGTAGTTGTAACCATATCCACCACTTCATCCACACCAGAGAGTTCATTCCACACACAAACCACCTTTTATGTAAAAAAAATTGCCTCATGTCTTTTTAAATCTCTCTCCTCTCATCTTAAAAATGCATCCCCTAGTCTTGAAATCCCCCACCTTAGGGAAATGACAACTACCATTAACTCTGTCTATACCTCTCATTATTTTATAAACTTCCATCAGGTCGCATCTCAACCTGCTACACTCCAGTGAAAAAGGTCCCAGTCTATCCATCCTTTTTTTATAACTCAAACGTTCCATACCTGGCAACATCATGGTAAATTTTTTCTGAACCCTCTTCAGCTTAGTAATATCCTTCCTGTAACTGAGTAACCAGAACTAGACCCAGTATCCCGGAAGAGGCCTCACCAATGTCCTGTACAACCTCAACATGACTTCTCAACTCCTATACTCAAAGGACTGAGCAATGAAAGTTAGTTCAGTGCACATTTAACTGGATAACAGTGACCTCATTTTTGAACCAATTCCTAACACCTAAATATTTTCAGACTTTGCTGAGAGATGCAATAAAGATAATACATAAATGAACATTCCTTCTATCTAACTGTGTTGAAGAGGCTATCCTTGAACTTCCAATGAAGGAACTAACTGGAAGCCTGCCATCTCATGACTAAAATAGTAGTCTAATTTTTCCTAGGTTGAACGCAAGAGTATTCCGATTTGTGCAAGCCCGTGTTAGGCGATTTCTGATCCTAAGCACCCTCGAGTGAGAGCATCACTCATATGTCTTTTAGAAACAGCATATGAATATTGCCTGAACAAATTGTAATGAAGGCCCTCTAGAGCTGAATCACCAATGTAGTGGAATCTAAACAAATCAAGAGATTTTTTTCTCAAATGCAGAGGTTGACTGGAAGGAATATCTTTATCCAACAATTAATGCAGTGACCTTGTTTTCCTCTTTCCAATTTTACGCCACTCATGATTCTTGCTGGGATGAAGTTCCATAGATGATGGAACCTGTTATTAAGACAGCCTTAAAGTCAGTTGGCTATTCAACCACTGAGGTCATTACAAATGGTTCTGTTTTTACCTATTCACAAACATGCTTATTACTCACTATTACTCGATACTACTCAATCTGCTTTACAATAAAGTTCATAAATTCACTAGCCTTTCAAATTTACACAGTAAAATAAGCTTTGGCAGAATTCAGTGGAATTTTCTGCTTTGAGGTTGATTTGTTAAGCTACTTAGCTCAGTTTCAAAAATACTTAAAACCAGGCATAAGTACAAGCCGAGAAGTTTTCAGCAGCCCTTATCACTTTTCTACACAATCCCTGTTTATGTCAGTAAATCTGTTTTTCCACATCCTAAAAAATTCTGCATAATTGCAAACATGTTCCTGAGAGCTTTTTTGAAAATCTATTTCAAACACTTTCAGCCAGAGGACAGCCTTTTGAAAAGAACTTGGTCACAGATTCAGCATTTGCACCAAATCCAAATCCACCAACCATTGAGACCTGAACAGAATAGGCAGATAAAAATAAACAAGAATGAACATAAACGTACTTTATCAAGTTAAAAATACATGAAGACACCTAAAAAAAATTCAACCTTGGCATTTGCTTTAAAGTTTCTGGAGGCATAACATCAGTTTCAGAAATTACTAGCACTGTATCTCAGTCATCTGCAAAACAACAATACTGTGTTGCAATTTTGAGCATCAAGCAAGAAACACAATATAAATATAACCGAGTGATTCCGCGATGTGACTAATGTGCAGTACAACATTGTACTCTTAGTAATCATGCTTTGCAATAAATTCCATCTCTGAATATGCATGTGAAGCATTTGGAAACACTTCCTTTAGTACTGTAAATAGGAACTTCACATCAAAACTAAACTATTATAAACGTAACCAACTACACAAATAAAGTTCAACGGTGTTCACAAGTTTGTGATAATTGAAATCATAATTTTCAGCAATAATTATTTTCCTTTTAACAACAATTTGTATTAATGTAGTGTCTTTAATGTGCTAAGAATCCCAAGGTGCTTCACAGGAAGTTAACAAAATTTCCTTTCTAATGGAGTTTGTCAGGAAAACAGGGCAAACAATCAAAAAATTTCACAGCTGAAATCAACAGAGCATTTTTCAGTTGGAATCAAAGGGAACTTTGCTAAACCACCAGCACCCCTCCGGCCAAGTTTACCCTCAAAAAGGAATGCCAAAAGCAAACGGTAACGAAGATGGAGACAGTACAATGCACCAGTTTTTTTTTAAATATCAGGCACTACAAAATATGAACAATGTAATTATTGAACAACATACATGATAGAACATAAGCTCCAATTCAGGAAACTGAGAGCTCAGCCAGAGAGTTTGTCTTAAGTAAATGTGAGGACAAACTGCAAGATGGATCAATACAAAATTTTAGTGATGTCCAGTTTTTAACGATTAGATGCGTACTCATTTGAATCACATTTCAACGCCTGTGCCAAACAGTGTTTATAGAAGACTGATCTTTTCATTAATTTTAATGATCCACAAGAGTAGGAGAGTTTCCAGTGAATATTACTAGCGAGCAGCCTAACCTCTTTATTCCAGAAAATAAGTAACAAAGCAGCTGGCCCAGTCACTGACTCTAATCCAGACAGATTTTATCTGCATCTCTCACCATAATGACAGGTCTTCCAAAGATAATTATCCTTATTTAAGGCAGTGTTACATACTTTACAAGTATTTTGTCATAGGCTTGACTGGAACAAACAAATTTTAAGGCCAGTTAAGTGAATGAAAATAGTCTAGATTTATGTAGCATTCAAGTATCTAATAATCTATTTTAGCAAGAGAAAGTACAATTGGTAAAGGAGGTCTGGTGCAATTTAAAAACATGATCAGCATAAATGGACATCACCTCAGAAGAATTTTCAAACTTTTACTTCGTAGCTACTCTTTTTCTTAAGAGTCACTGCTCCAGCAGACCACACCTTATAGTCAAATCCTATGATGTCACATACCAACTATTGTTACATACTGAGTGGCATTCCTTCCACTGTTGTTGGGTGGCAAATAGTCTGGTGCATTAATGAACTATATTTTAACTGCTGCTTTTGAGAGAAGAAAAATTCAATGTGTGTAAGTAAGAGCTGAAATTCTCTGACTCTGCCTGTTTCTCTCATCATCACTGGAAAATAAACAGCAATGAATGAAAAGCAAATTGAAAAAAATGTTCACAGACCTCAGATCTACAGTTTCTGCTCCTGCTGAAGATTCAATCCTGCCCTTAAAATTCTTCCTTCTTTCATGCAAGCCACGCTTGATAATTGACTCCTTAATTTTCAAACAAACTAACTTTTTCACTGGAGTGGAGTGATAAAAAGAAAAAAGTATATCTGAAATTCACCGAAAGGGGGTTTAAAAAGAGCGGAAACAATTCCCTCTCCTCACCTGTTCATAACACCATTTCAGCTTCAAAAGCTAGTTGAAAATACTCAGCACTGAAGAAATTAGTACATTAATTGGGTTCACTGGAGTCCTACTTGTGCTTTGAACACAGCAAGACATAGCTTAACATAGCTTCTAAAATTTCAAACATTGCAATGTAGACTTCAAATGGCAATATTCACGACCAGGAATCCAAATAGTTTAGCAATCTTTACAATTATGCTAGGATCAAAGACAAGAATATGGATCCAGACAAAGACAGGTCATATATCTTGCTTCATCATTCAATCATTTTTAATATATTGCAAGATGCTCAAGTAGAAACCTCAGTTTTGAAGGGAAGATATTTACCTTTGATCTGGCCTGAAGGCTCACATGTATATCCACAGCACGGTTTAATGATACTGCACAGTAAAGTGGTAATGTCCA